TAACCACTTAATGTAATCGTGGGACAAAATCCTCGAAATCATTATAAAATTTATATAAAATCTCTATATATAATCCGATAATCATATATGCAACCACGAGAAATCATTGTATAATATTAAATAAAATCGTATATTTTACCAAATTACTTCATGGTAGTAGTGAAAAAAATTATTTGTAATCTCTCAGATGAAATTATGTAATCTGTGGGACAATATTTCAGCTAGTGGTTACCCTCTTGACTCAACTTTTTGTTTAGGCTACACCGCCGCGCCGATCCTAGCGTACCGAGAAAAAACATTTCGTTTAGGGCCTAAACTTTAGGCGATGTCAATCCTTGAGAAACTTAAAGTAATAAGTGGAGAATATAATACTTTATCAAAAATTATATAATGTAATTTATTAAAACAATTTAAACAAAGATGGAATTTCCCTTTACAGGTATTACAAAAAGTTATGACTTTTTTGGTTAAATTTTTCATCATTTTCCACTCAAACATTTTTTAATTAGTTTTGTAACATTTTACGCAGTATCTTCTCATTTTATGCGCATGTTTTCCAATCATTTATTTCAAATGAAAAATTAAGATGTAAAATAACATTTAATAAACGTTAAATAAATTAATGTCTCTCTCTCTCTCTCTCTCTCTGATACTTAATCTTACTTCAGAAGAATCTTTTATTATAGTAGTTATAATATTATTATTTATAATATTAATATTTATAATATTAGAATAATTATTATAACAGTAATATTATAATAATTATTTATAACATTATATTTATAATTATTTTATTTATAATATTTATAATTAAAATATTATCTCTTATTATAGTATTTATAATATTTTTTAATCATTTAAATAAAACTCATTTGTTATAAATGTAAATAATTTGAAATCTAATACTTCCTGTTTTCATCAATAATCTAGCTAATATTAAAAGAAAACTCTCTTAGTGAAAATGAGTGAACAACAATAGCAATCAATTTTAAACAAATATTAAGAAAGATTATTTATAAAATTATGCAATGATATATTTTTTCTTCTCTACTTTTAAAATAACATCTATATAATATTGATTATATCGATCGTTTAAAAAATTAAAAAACATCTTTTATTTTACTATTATTCTATGATTATTATATATACTACGATACTATTATACTATTATACTATGATTATTTAAAGTTTTTTTTATTGTTGGTCTATCCATAATATTTTACAAAAATAAATGATTCAATGAGAAATAATGCATAAATAGGGAATAAATATATGAGGCAAATACTAAGTATAAGCATATTCAGGCCTATGACGGTCAAAGCTAGATCTTTTTTGCCTAAATAATTCCCAGTGAATTATCTATATCCTAAATATGTACATGCATATATATCATATTTTTGTAGTTATTCAAACTGCGCGCCGAAATTTTTCCGGACTTTATCTAACGCAATTAAACTACAAAAATATGATATATATGCATGTACATATATAGGATATAGATAATTCACTGGAAATTATTTAGGCAAAATAGATCTAGCTTTGACCGTCATAGGCCTGAATATGCTTATACTTAGCGTTTAATTCTTGTCGGTCCGAATAAAATCTTATTATGAGGCAAATGTTTTGCTATGCAAACACATAATGACGTAATTCCCGTTCTCTCGTTATAGTCGCATGTCAGAAGCAAGAAATTATTCTCTTGTATTTTACATAACATTTTTTTGGATTTAGATAAAATAAACCACTTTCTCTTTAGTATTTGTATCTTAAAGGACGGATTAATAAAATGTGTTAGGCCCAGTTTCACAACTGACGGTTAACTCTTAACCGAGATTCAACTAATTTCTCATCTTTTTCCAATTCTAGAATTGAAAAGAGATAATGAATAAGTTGAACCTCGCGCGCGGTTAAGAGTTAACAGTCAGTTGTGAAACTGGGCCTTAGAGATTTGTTTTTCATAGATTAATGACTGAACATTTTGATCAGTTATCGACAAGCACTCGGACCGAAATTACATCACGAATTAAAATTTTTGCCTGATTATGCTTATAGTCCAAGGCTACTCAACTTTCGGTATCTAGTTCTTTTACTGATAACATTACAGATATATGATTACCAAAAATCGAAACTTAAAAAGACCGAAATCCAATCGATTCCGGTAACTGTTACGGTAAAAGGATGGGAATCAAAAATTGGATTTAGATTCGAATCTTTATCCGGACCGAAATTTTTTGAGCCGGTCCCTGGTTATCAATAGCGCGTATATGGACTTTTGGAGCTGAACAACTTACAATATAAGGATCAAAGCATCAGAGGCGTCATAGTTTTAAAATAAAGAAGTAAATGAAGAAATTTTGTAATTCAACAATCATATTTGTGACATGATTTTGTAAATCATTGAAATAAGAGATAGTTGTCATTAATAATATATGTAATACGTGAGACTGTATTACATACGTTGCCTTTTTAACAAGATTAATAGCTTGATTAACATATTTGTATTGACGAGATAATTTTTATTACTCTGTCGATGTATTTGTGAATCTGATCAGAGACGTGTAAAAAGAGTTGTATTTATTATATAGGACAGAGAAGAGAAAGCTGGATTGGGTCAATTGGAATGTTCAAAGATCACGAGCCCATAAGAGTATAACATCAATATTTATAAACACGGTTAGTAATATAATTCACTGATAAAAATATAAAATAAATATAAATAAAATTATGTAATTTATTTCTTAATACAAACAACTTAAATAGAGAAATACAAAATATGTATCATAAAATATAAATAACATTTATTCATTCTGATAATTATATTTTATTTGTTATAATATATATGTATATATAACATTTTATTCCAATAAAGTATATTTTTTGTCCTTAATTTATTTATCGCCTTTTTTCTTACTATCCTCTTTGTTTGTACTATTTACAGAAAGTAAATCTAATGGTAATAAAAAGTCGGCATGTTCTGGTAAGGTATTAAATGCAAAATTTATAAATTTTTGAAATTCTTTAGTAAGAGAATCAATTTTTTCTTGAAGCATTTTATTCTTACTGCGATATTTTGTAATCTTCTCACTCATTATATTTATAGTTTCTTCTTGTTTTTATATATATATATATATATATATATTTACCTCAAAATATTTGTTTATTGCTTGCAATTGTAAACTGCTACGTAATCTTTCCATGAAAAAAGTATAAATAATATTCATTACATTTCGTGTTTCGAGTTCATGACGTTGAGCACGCAACTCTTCCACTTTCTTACTCTCAATTTCCTTGATCCTTGCATCAAGTTTGAGATGCTGTTCCCTTTGTATATAAAAATCAAAAGTGCAGTATTTTATATATTACGATATTTCGAAAACTTAAAAGGTAACAAGGTAATCGAACCCTATATATAGCCTATCTAGTAACTCAATATAATTCACTCGCTGTTTATGGGTAATTACACAATTAATTCAATAGATAATACTAATAAGTCATACAGGCTGTCGAAATGATTTGATTGAAATAGTGTATTGCTTAATGTTTGTTCATTCTGTTATTAATAATAAAGCAAAATGCAGAATGATGTAATATTTTGTAGGTAAGCAAGCTTTCTATCAAGAGATGATGGATTATTAATTTTCAGAATTTACATTACTGTATCTCTCTATATATAATACTTTACAACATTGTATTTAGTTTATATATTTTCTATAGCGTTTTATTTATAACCAAAAAAAACCTCTTTGTAAAGTAGAATAAATATGGCCAACTTTTTTTTAGGCATATTGAGTAATTCATTGCCATAATTGGCAATTAATATTAATAAGCCATAATTGTAATGTTTTTGCTACTTTTGATATTCTAAACATGGATTATAATTCACCTACTAAACGTTGTAGGAATAAGTAAAATAATTAATAATAAATAAATAAATAAATAAGTAATCATATTATAAGTGTTTACATTAGATCAATTTATTTTCCATTTTTTAAGACATTTTTTTACGAAAAAGAGAAAAACATACTTAAACCACGTATTGGGTATACATACAGAGTGAATCAGAATAGTTAAACCAGTTTTTTACCTTACAAGAAAATTATCGACCTCACATCTAATTATCGACTTAACGATACAGTTGGATGCGTGAATACATGGTGAGAATTACTGATTTGGCACTGAGAAAAAGATGCATTTTTAATAACTTGTAACAATTTTCATAACTCAACATCAAACGTGCCGGTTTTTGCGCTCAAACTAGCAGTTTATATAAAGCGTTTTTTCGTTATGTAATTAGAAGCTATCACAATTAAGGCTATCTTCGTCTTCAGGGATCAGAAGACAAAGATAGCCCTAGCTGTGGTTGCTTTTGGTTGCATAACGAAAAAACGCTAATGATGTTATTTATGCATCCGATCTATATCGTTAAGTCGATAATTAGGTATGTAATTGATAATTTTTTTATAGGATAAAAAACTAATTCAACTACTCTGATTTATCTTGTATGTAAATAATCTCATATTTTTTTTAATATTAAAAAATATATGCTTCTTCTATTAAATATAACTATCAGTTTTCAATTTTGGACACTTAGCAAAAAATTAAAAAAAAATTGCAAAACTTAGGTAGGCTATAAAGGCTATCTGGTTATTTTATTTACACATTTTTGGATACCTCATAATGTTATTAAAATCAACAATCATTTTTTCTTTCTGTGCCCGACGAGTTTGCTCAAGTTCATTATAAAGAGATGTAACAACCCAATTCATCTGAGGTCGAATTTTTCTTAGCACATCGTGTGTTGTATCCATTTGCGCTTTTATGATGGCCTTTTGCAATTCCTTATTGCGTTTGGCATCTGCATCTATCAACTCTACCTGTTGTATAATTTTAAATAAATTTTTATTCATTACATGTTGTGTAAACTGGTCACCTGCAACTTCTCCGCCAATTCCTGCTGAGCGGCCTTGAAATATTCCTCATATTTAGCATGAATTTCATCCGCGTTGCGTCTAATGGCAAATCTCTTTTCAGCTTCAAGTATACGACATTCCTCTGCAAATTCATCCCTCAGTTTTTTCTGCGTCACTGTTTCGATCTCTGCCTGAAACTTCTTCAGCTCTCCTTCGCCCAGTGCTGATAAATCAAGAATTTATAATATGTTAACGAGCATAAATATAAGTATATGGATCACTTTTGATGTTTCATCTAATTCAAATCCAGTAAGTATTACCTAGAATATCACTATGTAGATATGATTTAAGAATTTTCTGCTTTTCCGCCCACGTTCCCATCACGTCTGTCTTTAATTGACTGTCTTGTGAGGCGCAACATAATTGTTGTGAAAGTTTGGCAGGTGCTGAATCTAACAGCTTCACAGCTTCCTGATGACTGTAGTCGAAAAGAACTTGTGCCAGCGTAGTGCCAAGACGTCGTTGAATTTCCGATCTTGTCGGATTTTCATCTCGCGCAGCGCATTCCAACTTGCGAAATTTACGGGAGGTACAAACTGCATAAACACATTTGCAGAAATAAAGTTTTTGCAATTTCTATTGAATGATGTCTTCTTAAGATCAGATTGCATATATATTTTCTTGTGTATCTTAACGCAGCGTCGCTTACACATTACGTTATCAAGAAAGACGGCACATTCTTTATATTTAGCAGATTTAGCTTATATTTTACAGGAAATTAACCCTTTGCTCGCCATGCAGCAACTCTGCGTCATTCGTAAACTAGAAGAAACAAATGAACGTAATAGGTGAAGATAGACGAATTTTTACAAGTATATACCATGTTATAAATACATATACCTATCATGGTACATATATTGTATGTAATACTCCAAAAATCCGGATTTGCTACGTCTTTTTGATACCTGGGGCGACAAGCTCAATATATTATTCACAAGGTAAGATCATCATTTCCCCTATTTGACTATAATAATAATAAAAGTCTAGTCAAATTTAGATTAAGTAGGGGAGACCGGGGCCGATTGTCAGTTTTTGATTATTGATTTTTAGAAAAAAGTGGATGCCTGATTTTGAAATATTATATACGTTACAATATACCTATATCCTTCAGGTATTAAAAAAAATTTAACTTAGACAACCAAATAACTCGAAACATCGCGATTAAATAAAAAAATGTTTAAAACAAAAATTGTTGGATATGAAGGGGCTGATTGAACTATGACATTGACAATGATCTTGACCTTCATTTTCAAGGTTTGGCAAAAACGGGCTGAAAATTTGCATAAAGAAACAACTTCGTAATTTTATAAGATATTATAAGATAAATATTATAAGACAAAATTCGCACTATATTACCTTGTTTGAATTTTCAATTTCGTTTAATAACATTCAATTACTTTTATTTACATATATAGAAGATACGAAATTAAAATTTTTTCGTTCAAAGACTCATTACCCCGGATCTACAATAGGATAAAGCTTTCTATCTTTCGGTAATTCCACATATCTACCAATCGCTGTACAAATACCGACTGTGATAATATTCGAGATAAGTCCGGATCTACAATAGAGTTTTAAGCCTTAAACCATAAGAAATGGGCGAATCACAGTCGCTTATTCTTCTGTAATTCGACTGTAATTGGTCAATTTCTTACGGCTTAAGGCTTAAAACACCTATTGTAGATCCGGGGTAATTGGTCAGTTTCTTATGGCTTAAGGCTTAAAACCCTATTGTAGATCCGGGGTTAAACTATCCCTCCTGAGGACAGTTGGCACGCTTCTATCCTGAGGAATTAGTACAGAGACGAACCACATCTATTTTCGACGATACGATTTTATCGATAGTGTCAAAAAATGTACGTAGTCGCGTAGTTCTCAAACTGAAAATGAATGTACTGGCGGTAGTATACGGGCGATTTCGACGGTAAAGCTGAAAACACAATAGACACAGGCAATAGGCACAGGCAACAGGGAATAACGAGCCGTCCAATCAGAGCTTTGGGGTATAAGTTCGATATTATATCCCAGAGCTCTGATTGGACGGCTCGTTATTCCCTGTTGCTTGTGCCTAGTGCCTGTATCTATTGTGTTTCCAGCTTTATACCTCCTTAAAGGCCCGTCTACAATACACGGTGTAAGAAGTAAGAGTAAGAAATTGACCAATCACAGTCGATTATTCTTCTTACATTCGACTGTGATTGATCAATTTCTTAAGGTGCGATTTCACGCTGACGCTAGACGCTCATTTTCAGCGTCCAAACAGGTCACGTGATCAAAATTAACGCTTGGTATTCGTCAATTTTGATCACGTGACCTGTTTTGACGCTGAAAATGAGCGTCTAGCATCAGCGTGAAATCGCGCCTTCACAGTTGACGCTCGACACTCGATTCGAGCATCAAATTAATCACGTGATCTTTTTCTTAGCGGGAGAATGGCCCTGATCAACCAATCACAATAAATTATTCTCATAATTCGACTGCGATTAGCCAAAAAGGAACCGATTCTCTAAAAAAAGGAATCGATCCAGTAAGAATCGAGATTCCGAAGAATCAGATAATAATCGATTATTTTGAGCCTAAAATAATCGATTTTTTTCAAGAATCGGAAAAGGATTTCCCATCACTACTGTATATCGTTCTTAACCTCATCTCTTCATGATATACTTCTATCTCTGCGCTCGTATACTTAACTGTTATAAAAATAATGAAAATCTCCTATCTATAATAGTAATTCTGCTGATTGAGTTAATCGTCGATTAAGTTAATCGGCGTTGGTAACAGTCGCCCTAAAATCCTTAATTAAAGAAGAAAAAGAAGAATACTGTTTAATACGATTGATCGATGTACATACATTAGGTTGCGAGCTATGTACTTCTGATTTCCTGCGATGTTTTGACAAGATTTTGTCCACGATTGAAAGAAAGATGATACTTATTAAATGTGCCATGACAGAACAGTTGATGCGAAAAAGCGCTTTGTCAGCGGCAGCATTCATACGCAGGTGTGTATACATATACATATGTTAGAATTAGATATTAAAGATTATGTATCTATACACTTTGATCATATCTCTTCTTTATCTTCTTTTTGTCTAATAAATTGTATATTGCAAAGTTAAGATGTATCAAGAATAGGTCTGTTCTTTTTGGCTGAACTGTTGCACCAGTTCATCTTCTTCTTTCCTCCTGAAGAGAAAAGGAAGAAAGATAAACTGATGCAAGAGTTCAGCTAAAAAGAGCAAGCCTAATATTTCTACTATGATTCCTGTTTTATTTGTTTCATTGCTTGTTGCTAGGTCAACAGCTCTCGGCACAAATTATGTCCAACCATGCAGAGGCAAGAAAAGCGACAGTAATACAAACGTACCGGAATCTTTGTTCCACCCTGTACCCATCAAACCAAATCCAGATGATATAAATGTCGGCGCTGAATTAACTGGATCTTCTTTGAAGAAGACAGATCTCTTAAAGATATTGAATACCTTCTCAAACAAGACAGAAATCAAGGAATTAGCTCAGCAATATGGATTACATAGTGTGTAGGAATTCAAATATATATGTCGCTGATCATGGTTTTTAATTGTGGAATTGATTTTAGGCTATCTTCAGGGACAGGCTTTCACAAACTTTAAACAGTATTGCGTAGGAACGGAATCATTACCTGTGGATCTCTATGTAGTCCTGAGTGATATCCTGCAAGGCGCTGGAAACATTGCTGATATTTTTCCGTACTTCATGAGTCATGCCAAGAAAATATTTCCACATCTTGATTGCTTAGATGATCTCAAAAAGATTAGTGATCTACGAAGTCCTGCTACTTGGTAAGAAAAAAATATAAATTTACATAATATTAAAGTTATCAAGATTTATTATCTTATTAATACACAATTACTATATTATTATTTTAAGTAGATTATAATGTATTTTCTAATATTAAAAAAAAAGATGTTTTCTACAAAAATAACAAAATTTGATTATTTAGGTATCCGCTAGCAAGATCAAAAAATAGAAAAATAATTTTTCACGCTGGACCAACAAACAGTGGAAAAACTTATCATGCTCTAGAAAGATTTATTACTGCAAAAAGCGGGGTATATTGCGCACCGCTAAAGTTACTGGTTGTAGAAGTATTTCATAAATGCAATGAAAGGGTAGATATATATTTATTTTAGTTACATTCATCAAAGATAATAAAGATATAATAAAGGTATTTAACATTATTTTTAGGGAACACCATGTGATTTATTAACTGGAGAAGAACGGAAATGTGTCAAAGGCTATGATAATCCAGCAAGTCATTTATCTTGTTCTGTAGAAATGGCAAATCTACAAAATAATTGTGAGTACTTTGGCATCTTTAACATTTACACAAGAAAATACGATCACAATCTATTGCAGATGAAGTAGCAGTGATTGATGAAATTCAATTAATGCGTGATCTTAATAGAGGCTGGGCGTGGACAAGGGCCCTTCTAGGAATTCCTGCGGATGAGATACATTTGTGTGGTGAAGCTGCTGCTATAGAATTGGTATCTTTTATCTTTGTATTATACATTTACGAATTATGTTCTAATATTTGACGTCTATTAACTAAAAGCAACGTATAGGTAAAAGCTATATGCGTTTCAACGGGCGAAAATGTAGAAGTTCGCAGATATAAACGATTAACAGAACTAGAGATAGAAAACCGAGCTGTCGAAATGTTGAATAACGTTATGCCGGGAGATTGCATAGTCTGCTTTAACAAAAACGATATATATACTGTGTCGCGTTCTCTTGAGAGCAAAGGAAAAGAAGTGGCTGTAATATATGGCAGCTTACCACCAGGTACCAAGCTGGCGCAAGCTGCGAAATTTAACGATCCTAACAATTCTTGTAAAATCTTGGTAGCAACCAATGCCATTGGAATGGGTTTGAATTTGTAAGTTTTATGCATGTATATGTTGAATTTGAATCTATATATATACGTTTATTGTTTGAGGTTTTAAGTAATATAGGTGTATATAATTAAAAATGATTGTCTTAAAAGTATCATGTATCGTTCTAGGCATATTCGAAGAATTATATTTTATTCGTTAATTCAGCCAACATCTAATGAAAAAGGTGAAAAAGAAATGGAAGTTATATCTGTGTCGGCGGCTTTACAAATAGCAGGTCGTGCTGGACGTTATGGCACAGCTTGGGAAACAGTAAGTAATAATCTAATTTATTTCTGAACATCACAAAAAAAGACAATACAGAGGAAAATGTAGAAGTATTAAATTATAGTTACCCCGCGTTTACTTCACAGGGCTATGTAACTACATTTAAACGAGAGGATCTACCTACTTTGAAAAATTTGTTGAATCAAACACCAGAAACAATAACGCAAGCTGGTCTCCATCCAACGGCGGATCAAATTGAGCTGTACGCTTATCATTTGCCAAACTCGTCATTATCAAATCTAATGGTAGATTTCGCACGGAGATGACAATGGAATTAATTGTAATGAATCATAAATAATTCCGCTTATAATGCTTTATCTATTTTAGGATATTTTTGTATCGTTGTGCACAGTCGACGATTCCCTTTACTTTATGTGTCACATAGATGACTTTAAATTCTTAGCCGACATGATACAGCATGTTTTATTGCCACTCCGCGCAAGATACGTATTTTGTTGTGCACCGATTAATCGGAAATCACCCTATGTGTGCACCATGTTCTTGTTATATAATTTTTACTTATTTATAAATATGTAACACACACACACACATATA